CTGGGCCAGTTCCCAAATCAGATTTGGGATTGACAGCCAAGCCTTAAATCCAGCAGGTTTCTGACTCGTCCTAATCCGTATCAAACCTGGATGCAGCAGCATCCCAAGGGAGGGAATTTTTATTCCGTGAGGGTTTTCCTCGCTTGCCAAAGCCTCTCCCGACCTGGCCCTGTTCCATCCCATAACATGGATCCCATCCCAAACCCCATCCCAAATCCCATCCCATGGATCCCATCCCATCCCCGAGGTCACCCCAAAGGACACCCCAAGGTCCTGAGGTGTTCCCGAAGTGAAAATGCCGGGATCGGAGCAGGGAATGGCTCAGAGATGTGACATTGGGATTTGTTTTTTTTCCAGCTGAGGATCCCTGTGCAGGTGCCACCGCTGCGGTCACCCCGAGGTCACCCAAGGGACACCCCAAGGTCACTCTAAGGACACCCCAAGGTCCCGAGGCCGCCCAGGGAAGCTCCAAGATGGTCCTGAGGAGATCCCGGGTCCCCTGCGCGGGAATCGCCTTCGCCCTCTGCCTCCAGCACCTCGTCAGCGCCATCGAGGTCCCGCTGGACCGTGAGTTTGGGATTTATCCCCTCCCACCGCTCCCCAAAAATTCCCCTCCGGAATGGGGAGGAGCTGGGACAAAGCTGGGAAAACAGGAAAGGAGCTGGGAGCCGTCAGGGTCCCTTGGCAGTGCAGGGAGTGGGGTTGGAAAAGGGATTTTTGTGTGGGGTTTGCAAGGTGTGGAAAATCCCCCTGGAATTCTTTCCTGGCCGCGCTGGGAGTGGGATCGCTCCTGGATTAACCTCCTCTCTTTTTCCCTCTACGCTTTCCCTTTGGGAATAACAGCAAATATCCAGAGCCAATGTAAGTGTCCCCTTCCCTCCCCCYGCGGGGCCGTGTCCTTGTCCCCAAAACCCCAAACCTGCATGGGGGTCCTGGGGCAGGGGCATGGCCCCTTTTGAGAGGCTTTTCCAGAACATTCCAGGCTGGAAACCAGCTCGGGAGGAATTCCCGGCTGGTTTTGCTGTACCTGGAGCAGAATCCAGGCTGTGTTTGCAGTGGGAAAATCATTCCTGCAGGATTTGGGGTTGGGGAAGGGCAGAATTYCCTTCCTGGCACCGGTGCCAGGCTSGGCCCCACATCCCGGCAYGGCGGGARCATYCCTGGATCTYGGGGGATGAGGAAACAGCTTTGGATCCTCATTCCAGGGGCTGGGATCTGCAATTTGGGGATCAGGGCTGGCTCCTGTTCTGGCCATGGGGTTCCTTTTCCCATCCCTGYRTTCCTAAATTCCAGATSCTATTCCAGCCATGGRRTTCCTGTGYCSCWTTYCMCATCCCTGYRTTCCYAAAYTCCAGATCCTAYYCCAGCCATGGRRTTYCTGTKYCCCWTTYCMYRTSCCTGCATTCCCAAACWCCAGATCCTATTCCARCCACGGGATTCCTGTGTCCCATTCTGTGTCCCTATATTCCTAMATTCCAGATCCTATTCCACCCAYRGGATTCCTGCCTCCCTTTTCCCATCCCCAYCTTCCTAAATTCCAGGTCTGAGCTCCTTTGGGGCCATCCTGGGGGTTCCTCACACCAGGAATGTTTTGGGATCCCTGGCCCAGCCCCTCTGATCTGCAGATCCAGTCCCTGTGATCCGGGATGAATTCCTGTTGGATTCACCCTGTGAGAGTGGGGGATGTAAATGGGACATTCCCTGATGACACCAAACTATGGAGAGGGAATTGGGGTTTTACGGTACCTGAGGGAAGTCCAGACCCTGTGATGCTCTGAGAGGTGATAAATTCAGGGAATTTGTGGGAATTTCCTCCGGGAAAACCCCAAATTGCTTGGGGAAGGAGCCAAGATCCCAGCAGGAATCGCTGTGGGATGGCTCAGAGGGATCCCCGTTCCTCACGGGACCCCATTACCGGCTCGGAGGGATCCCCGTTCCTCACGGGACCCCGTTTCCAGCTCGGAGGGATCCCCGTTCCTCACGGGACCCCATAACCAGCTTGGGGTGATCCCCGTTCCTCACGGGACCCCATTTCCTCGCAGTGCCGCAGCCGCCCACCATCACCAAGCAATCCATCAAGGATTACATCGTGGATCCCCGAGACAACATCTTCATCGAGTGCGAGGGCAAAGGCAATCCCGATCCCACGTGAGTGGATTCCCAGCCCCAATCCCAGTTACCAGCCTAAATCCCCTCATTCCCTGCCCTAATCCCCCTGTTCCCAGCCCCGATTCCATTTCCCAGCCCCGATTCCCCCATTGTCAGCCCCAATCCCAGTTCCCAGACCCAATCCCATTTTCTAGCCCCAATCCCAGTTACCAGCCTAAATCCCCTCATTTCCAGCCCCAATCCCCCCTTCCCAGCCCCAATCCCAATTCCCAGCCCTGATTCCCCC